GGTTTCCAGGGCCTTTTATATTCTCTGCCCTGTGGAAGGACACCTTCGTTCTTACTGTGGAAAATCCCAGCAGCAAGATGGAGTCTGGAGTCACATGGGCAAGTCACATGTCCGTGCATGACTCAGTTTGCAGACCGACGCCATTGTTTCCATGTTAGTTTGAAGGTTCCCAGGAAAGCTCAGATGTGGATTGGCGTCTCCCAAAGTCCATTGTCAGTTCAGTGTTTCTTGATTGGGCACTTCCTGAGAATTGTCCCTTCTCAAGAAGCTGAGCAAATGCTTCCCTGAGGCTGCTTAGAAGCAAACACATTGAGATACAAGTACAGAGCCAATATTCATAACTTCAACTACAAAAATGATACACACATACAGACAGCAGCATCATAACCAGCAAATCATAACCTGTCCATAGACACCTTACCCGACAACCTTTGTACGAGAGTTGGTGCCACTATAGGACCTTGGACGCAACAATGATCTATGCGGTCACAGTTCATGTCAATAACTCGGTTTTGTGGTCTCTTGCCAACTTTGCAATCTTGATTAGCTGGTGGTTCCCTGTGTGGATAGACTGACATTGTGAGTGCACAAGGACCAGCTAGGGAGAGGAGTGTCTCCTACCCCTCTGTTACCTGCTGGTGACCTGTCTGAATTCGCACCCCTTACGGACGCGGCTTTCAGTGTAGATACATAGCTTTGTGACTAGCCGTACCTACCTGTCACACTGACTGGGGTGACCAGAGCTTTACCCACACACGCCACCCTTCGGCGCACTATTCTGGAGCCATCAGACCCAGAGGACACCTGCAAACCCCTGTGCACCCCTTGTGCCCCCCTGCCAGTTGGCACCAAGTGGTCCCTGGGTCACAGAGGTGCGCCCCATAAACACCCCCAAAGCTACCTCATTGTCCACCTTCCTCAAACCGCTCCTTCGCCAAGAGGCTGACAGAGACGACCTCGGCTTGGCCGCAGTGTGCTGAGCCCACAGCCTGCCAAGCTGCCCCGCTCCTGGCACTCCACTCCCCAGCTGTCCACCCCACCTCTTATCTCATCCTCAGATCGTCAGCTTATGGGGGCAGGACCTGCCCCTTTGCTCTGTGTCTGTACGGCGGACGGGGGGCCTCCTGCATGACGAGGGCTCGTAGGCAGTGATCTTAATCCCTATTAAACCATAGACCACCTCACGCCTAGATCCTGATACAGATCCTAGCAGGTCCCACGCCCAGTGCAGGCCAGCACCACTCGCTGGTATCCACAGATCATTGGCCAATATCTGCCCCAGGGAGGGTTTGAACTCACAGCACATGGGGGCAGCTCAGGTTCCAGAACCACAGCATGTCCTTTGAGCCACCCAGTTCCTGTGCCAACCGCCTGCCTGAAACCCTCTCGCCTCGGCTTTGTGCACGATGCCAGTCTCCAGCCCGGGCTGGTCTAGGAGCCAGGCTCTTCCTTTACTGCTCGCCCAGAGGGGCGGCTGGGAGAAACGCCGAGCGACTGAGACCGGCTGGGGGCTGATTAGAGCCGCAGCTGGAGCTCCAGCCGGGTGCACAAAGCAGAACCAATTGATTTGGGAACACGGTGCTTCTAGGGGAATGTAGCTCAGACACCCCTTGCTCAAAGGACCCCAAAGCCGGACCCCTCCCCGACCCTGCACCCCCGGGGAGCTCCTGCCCCTTTCACGACAAGCTGAATCAACGTGAGGAGTTTAGAGCCGGAAACAGCCTTCCCTGGGGCAGGGCGGCCGCTCTACGGAACGAATTGGCCCTTTACAAACAGTAGCCAGCGGCTCCTCGCCCCCAGGGCTGTAACGCACAGGCGATGGCCTAGCTCAGGCAGTGGCAGAGGCGGGCTGAGAAGCCAGGCTGGTCACGTTGGACGAACACTGGCACGTGGCTGGAGGCAGGTTCAGAGCCAGCAGCTGGCAGAGCCATTCGGGGCTGGCTCGGCCGAGCCGGTGCCCTGCGATGGGAGGAATCGCCGAAAGCGGCTTTCGTCTAACGTGACCAAGGAACTTGGTTAGACAGGAGAGTCTCGGCCTGCAGCCGCTCCCTGCCACCCCACAGAGCTTCTGCCCCGCCCCCCGCAGCCCCACCCCACTCTGCAGGGGGAAAGGAGCAGGACCCAGCTGTCTACGATGCAGCCAGGAACCAGCCTCCCTGCCCTGCCGGATCGCGATGCTGCTGGCCTCTGGGGTCCCATCTCGCTGCCTCACATAGAGCATCGGATCCTAGGGGCCTCTCCCCAGAGCTGTGGGGCCAGCACCATGCAATAAGGGGCACACGGCCTCTCAGCTGGGCTTGGGACCCGCCTGTTTCTCTGCAGCAAAGGCCTGGATCAGGCTCCGCCAGGTAAGATCTGGGGGGGCTGGGCAAGGGGGGCTCCAGTGCCAAGGGCTGGTGGCCAGTCTTGGTACCAGGAGGGGGGCTCTTGGGTTCAGCTGGGGGGGGCTCTTGGCTCCCTTCCAGCAGTTAAAGGCAGAAACGTCTTTCAGCTCCCGTGTGCTGGCCGCTCGGGCCTGCGCTGACCTGGCACCCCACAAGCAGCTGGGCTGGGCTGGGGGTCGCCCCACAGCTCAGCACTTACCCCGGGGGCTGTTGGCTGGCGAATGCCCCGGCAGTGGGCAATGCAGCCCCCTGCACCTGGGGGCACAGGGCGACGCGCTGCCAAGCCGCACCCCCAAGAGCCTGGCCCCGGCCGAGTGGTGCGTTGCTCGGGACTGTGGGCGGCGAACGGCACCCGAGGCAGGACGCCACGTCCGCCACCGCTGGGCGTATGCCTGAAGGACGAGGTCCTCGCAGAACAGCCAGGCCCTGCCCCACTGAGCTCGCCGGCCAGGGGTTTGTCCAAGGCAAGGAGCCGGACGCCCCTGGTTTAGGAGACGAGGCTACGACCAAGGAGAGCAGCGTCTCCCCACAGCAGCTGCTGTCTGTCTGCGTTACGGCAGAGCGCCCTGCCGGTTTCATCAGGACAGAGCGTCACGGCCACGGCCAGATCCCTGCGGAGCCCGGGGGGCCGGTACCGTAGCACTGAGCTGCAGCCCCCCGGCTCCTTCACGAGCACAGCGCTGGGCTGGGGCAGGGCAGGGCAGGGCAAGCAGCCGGCCGAGGAGGCTTCACAGCAAGCCATGCTCCGGGGATCAGACCTGCAGCCAAGAGCCCAGAAGGGTCAAGGAGCAGGCAGCCACCCTCCTGGCTTCTTCTCCCTGCCCCACAGCCTGCACGCCAGGTCCCAGCCCGTGTGCTGCGGGGCCCACAGCTCACCGCCCTAGGGCTGCTCCCAGCAGCCGGAACCAGGAGCTGGGGCCAAGCGAAGCGGAGAAGCTGCGGCTCACCCCATCCCTGCCTGATCACGGAGCGGGAACCTCCGGGCCCCAGGGGGACGAGGTGGCATCTCTAAAGGGGAAACGTTCGGCCCTTTGCCAAGCCCTGGCTGCTGGGACATCAACCTAGCATGCGGCCCAAGGGGGCTCTAAGCCAGGGGCTCCCCCCTCCCCCCCGCGTGGGAGGCGGATGGTCATTCTGGGAGCAGAACGCACAGCAAAAGCTGTGGGTCGCCCCATCCTGCCAGCTCTGCCATGGGGCGCTGCCCGAGAGGGGCCCTCACCTGCTCTGCCCCTGGGGGGCCAAGCCATGAGCCTAGGGCGAGCAGCCCCCAACGCTGGCACTGCAGCAGGACCGGCTCCCGGGGCAGTTCGAAACAAACATTCCCCTCCCGGCTCAGCTCTGCAAGATCTTCCCCTCCGGCCGTGCAGCCCCTGCCTGTCTGAGACCCCCCCAAATGACCCAGGGACCTTCCGCTTCCCCCCCAGCAGAGGCACCCTCGCTCCCTTCTCCCCAACTCCCCCTCTCCTGTATTAGGGACTGAACGCTTTGCTGCGGCCTCGTCCCCCTGCTGGAGCTGGAAGTTTCTGCCACCAGGAGCAGCAGCTAACAATTGTCTTTTCGCCTGTCGTCATTAGGTTCCAGAGTTAGAGAGACTGACACGGATTGCAAGGCTGGGAGGGATCACTGTGGATGTGGTCTGAGCCCTGCACAGGCCAGCGACCTGCCCCAGAATCACCCCAGAGCTGCTGGTTTAGGGAGACAGCCCATCTGGGATGGAGAACCCGCAGCGCCCCGGGGAGCAGTTCCAAGTTAATTCCTCACCCGTAAAACTTCTTTCCTGCCTGAATGTCTCACTTTGGGTCCAGCCAGTCCTGTGTCTGCAATGCATGGTGACGCCCCTGGATTGCGGGGGGGGGGGACACAGCTGGGCTCTGGGGAGGGGCCGGGCTGCTGAAGCCAGAGGGGAAGCCATGGCCCCGTGCTGGGGCTCCAGCCGGCGGATCAGCGAGAGCCAATCATGTCCCATTCCCCACGGCGCCTCCCTGCTGCCGGCCAGCTCGGGGGAGGGAGCCCCAGAAGCAGCCACCTCCGCAGCCGGGCGCCCCGCCTTGTGCTCCTGGGCCTGGCCGGAGGGGCAGGCTCTGCCCTTGCAGCTGTGGTCCAGCGAAAGCTCAAATGCTCCAGGAGCTGCTACAATCCAGAGGGGCTGCCCCCCCTTCCCCAAATTGCCAGCACCCCTGGGTGAAACCAGCCCAGAGAGCAGCTGTCAGGTCCGCAGCAGCCAGGCCAGGCTGATCTCCCCCTCCCTCTCCAAAGGGGGTCCCGGGGGGGGGGGTCTCTGCACAGAGGGTTCAGTCTCATTCCCCCAGCCCCTCCCCCTCTGGGGGCTGGGAGGGAGGGGGCTCTTCTTCCCCTACTGCCCCTTCCTGAGGGCGGGGAGGGTCCCCACTAACACCTGCTCCCCCCCAGGTGGGACCAGGTGCTGCTGAACCAGCCCGGCATGGGCTGTGTGGGGCAAAACACACGTGGGGGGGCGCCCGCTTCCCACCCTAGGCAGAGCGGAGAGGCTGGCCGCTCAGGGTGTCTGGATCTCGTGGCTGGATGCCAGTTATCCCACCCGGCACTCCTGGGGGGAAGTTCGCAGCCCCCCTGCCCCGCCCAGAGCCACACACTGTGAATGGTGAATGCACTTTAATAGCCCCCGCGGGCGGCTCAGGCCCCCACGCTGCTCCTGCTCAGTCCACCAGCAGGCCGCGGCTCACCTCCGGGAAGAGCCTGAAGAAGCCCTGGAAGAAGGAGAGGCCGAGATCAGGGCTGGGGCCAGGGCAGGGTCAGCCCGACCAGGGAGCCGCGCGGGGGGTGAGGGGGGGAAGGGGAACAGCTGCTCCCGGTTCAGTTATACAAGCGTTACCATGGCAACCAGCTAGTCATTTAGTGCTGGATGATGTTGCCATAGTAACCAATCACTGACTCAAGGCCACGGCAGGTTGCTATGGTAACCATTCAGGGATGAAAGTGGCCAGGGAGGGGCTGGAGTGGGGGTGGGGGGTGGTCAGGGAGAGCAAGGGCAGCAGGACCCGGCTGGATTGTCCACGGAGCGTCAGCCCGTGGGTGGGGCGGGGACCCGGGGGCTGCAGGGGACCCCGGCACTTACCCTGAAGCACCCTGAGATGGAAGGGATGCAGGGGGGTAGGGGGGCTCAGTGCAGGGGACCCCTGCTTCTGCTGTCCCCAGAGGTGTAGGGGTGCAGGATGGGGCACGGTCTCACCTGGAAGAGGGCGACACTCTGCAGTCCCTGTAGCTATAGGGGTGCGGGGGGGATGGGGGCAGAGGGGTGGGGGGGGCAGGGCCGGCTCCAGGCACCAGGCACCCAAGCTGGTGCTTGGGGCAGCACTTGGAGGGGGGCGGCGCGGCGTTCCGGCCGCCGGGGAGAGCGGGGCCACAGCCGGGCTCGCCGCCCTCCCCCCGGCGCTCTGGCCGCCCTCCCCCCCGCACCCTCCCCCCGGCCGCCCTTTGCTCTGGCCGCCGGGGGGAGAGCCGAGCCCCAGTCGGGGCTCGCCGCCCTCTCGCCGCCCTGCCCCCGGTGCTCTGGCCGCCGGGGGGAGAGCCGAGCCCCCGCCGGGGCTCGCCACCCTCCTCCCAGGGCTCCGGCCGCCCTCCACCCGGCCGCCGGGGGGAGATCGGAGCCCCCGCTGGGGCTCCGGCCGCCCCCCCCCGGCTCCGG